TTCTGAGAAATGCAATGTTAAGTGATTTCAGCATCCTGAAAGCATTATAGAGTGTAATGTGCTTATACAAATCTAGACGTATAGCCTACTACACACTTAGGCTACGTGGTATGGCCTATTGTTCCCAGGCTACAAACCTGCACAGCATGTCACCGTGCTGAATATTGTAGCAATAGTAAGTAACACAATGGTAACTATTTGTGGAGCTAAACATATCTACACACAGAAAAAGTACAGGAAAAATACAGTATAAAATTTAAAAAAAGTTATACCTATATAGGGCACTTACCATGAATGGAGCTTACAAAACTGAAAGTTGCTCTGGGTGAATCAGTGTGTGAGTAGTGAGTGAATGTGAAGGCCTAGGACATTACCATGCTCTACTGTAGACTTAGGATACATTAATTTATTTAAAAATATTTTTTCCTGAAAATAAATGAACATTTGCTTCCTTTAACTTTTTACTTAATAAACTTTTCATAAACTTTAAATCATGCTACTATAAAGACACATGCACATGTATCTTTATTGCAGCACTGTTTACAATAGCAAAGACTTGGAACCAACCCAAATGCCCATCAAAGATAGACTGGATGAAGAAAACGTGGCACATATATACCATGGTATACTACGTAGCCATAAAAACGAATGAATTCATGTCCTTTTCAGGGACATAGATGAAGCTGGAAACCATCATTCTCAGCAAATTAACACAGGAACAGAAAACCAAACACTGCATGTTCTCACTTATAAGTGGGAGTTGAACAATGAGAATACATGGACACAAGGAGGGGAATATCACACACTAGGGCCAGTCGAGGAGTAGGGGGCCAGGAGAGGGACAGTATTAGGAACACCTAAAGTATGTGGGGCTAAAAACCTAGATGATGAGTTGATGGATGCAGCAAACCACGCTGGCACATGTGTACCAATATAACAAACCTGCACGTTCTGCACATGTATCCCAGAACTGAAATTATACTAATAAAACATGGTTTCAACTTTTGGACTCTTGTAATAACATTTAGCATAAAACACACACACATTTTTCTTTTTTCCTTTTTGAGACAGAGTCTCACTCCTTTACCCAGGCTACAGTGCAGTAGCACTATCACGGCTCACTGAAGCCTCAACTTGCTGGAGGCTCAGGTGATTCTCCCACCTCAGCCTCATGAGTAGCTTGGACTAAAGGCGTGCACCACCTCACCAGGCTGATTTTTTTGTATTTTTGTATAGATGGGGTTTTGTCATGTTGCCCAGGCTGGTCCTGAACTTCTGGGCTCAAGCTGTCTGCCTACCTCATCCTCCCGAAGTGCTAGGATTAGAGGTGTGAGCCACTGCATTTGGCCTAAGTTTTTTCTTCATATCCATAATCAGTATGCTGCTTTCTATTTTTAATTTTATTAATTTTTACTTTTTAAAAAAAAATTTAAACTTTCTTGTTAAAACTCAGACAGAAGCACATACATCAGCCTATGCCTACATAAGGTCAAGTCATCAATACCACTTTTCCATCTCCACATCTTGTCTCACTGGAAGGTCTTCAACGACAATAAAATGCATGGAGCAGATAGGAATGCCTTTTTCTGGACCTGCTCCAGACTGTTTTACAGCTAACTTTTGTTTTAGTAAGTAGGAATGTACCTTAAAATAACAATAAAAATGTAGTATAGTAAATACATAAGCCAGTAGCATAGTCATTTATTAAAAATTATTATCCACTGTATATAATTGTGTTATATTTTTACACAGTTGGAAGTGCAGTTTGTTTACATCAGCATCATTATAAACATGTGTAACACGTTATGCTATAACGTTAAGATGGCTATGACATCACTAAGAGATTGGAGTTTTTTAGCACCTTTATAATAGTATGAGACCACCATCTTACGTACAGTTTGTCCTTGACTGAAATGTTATGTGGCATATGTCTGTGTATATCAATATATTTATGTATGTATATTTGTCTGTGTGTGTATATATGCATATATATATGTAAAATAAAATCTGTATTGTATGATCCTCTGCAGTAATATGGAACTTCCATTCAAAGTCTCTGAGACTTTTTAAAATCTAAGGTTTTTTTCTATTGCTACCTTTTTATTTTATTTTTTGTTTATTTTGAGACTGAGTCTTTCTCTGTTGCTCAGGCTGAAGTGCAATGGCACAATCATGGCTCACTGAAGGCTTGAAGCCTTGACTCCCTGGGCTCAAGCCATCCTCCCACCTCAGCCTCCTGAGTAGCTGAAACTACAGATGTGTGCCACCATGCCTAGCTAATTATTTCATTCATCGTAGAGATGAGATCTCATTGTTTTGCCTAGGTAACTCCTGAGTTCAAGTGATCCTTCTACCTTGGGCTCCAAAAGTGCTGGGATTGCAGTCATGAGCCACCTCACCCAGCTGAAATATAGGAGATATATATATATATATGTATATATATATATATATGCATATATATAATTATCTATGTATATATAATCAATGTATAAACATATACATTTAAAAATATAATTGGACCAAGCATGGTGCTGTAATCCCAGCACTTTGGAAGGCTAAGGTAGGAGGATCACTTGAAGCCATGAGTTCAAGACCAGCCTGGGCAGCAAAACAATACCTTCTCTCTACAAAAAATGAAACAAAATCAGCTGGACATGGTGGCATATACCTGTAGTCCCAGCTATGTAGAAGGCTGAGGTTGGAGTATCCCTTGAGCCCAGAAATTTGAGGCTTCAGTGAGCTATGAGCCTGCCACTGCACTACAGCCTGTGCAACGGAGGAAAACTTCCATCTTAAAAATTACACAAAAATTAAAAATAAAAATGTAATCCCAGCACTCCTGACTTCAAGTGCTCTGCCCGCCTGGGCCTCCCAAAGTGCTGGGATTACAGGCATGAGCCACCACACCTTGCCCATTCTTTAGTTCTTTATTTGGCAGGAGGTGTGGTCAACTCCCTGGGATACATATGCATCAGAGACTGCAATTCTAATTAAACTTAACACAGGTTTGATGGAGTGGTTGTTGAACTAGGAGAGGTAGCAGAAAAGCTGATTTTTCTATGCCTTCTAAGGCCATTAGAATTGATATTGACATAATTATTAAGTTAAATGGGACAGGTAAGAAAAAAATTAATTCTTTCACCTTCTGATTGCTTCCTGTTACACCCTGGCTCTTGGAAGCTTCTTGTCACGTGAAATATTGAGAGCAGATCACTAAGGAAATTTCGGAATGGACAAATACAAGAAGCATACAGCAGATGCTGACTATCCATAAGCAGGACTGCTATTGCTACTCTATTATGGAACTTTTTCTTAGAAAAACAGTATTTGCCCCTCTACTCAATATAAAACTCCTATCTATTCAAGCCCACAACCTACTTCTCAGTCTGGGAGGACTGAGTTCAAAATACTGTGGTACAAGGCTTGATGTTTTTTCTGAAGTTTGAGCCTGGACTTTTTCTTGTGACTCCAGTAATGTAAAGTGTCTATGAGAGAAATTCCTTGTACATTCAACTGACAGAATATGCAAAATCAACCAAATAAAAGAGCATACAGAAGTCTAAGTTGCCAATCATGGGTGATTTAGATAGTTTAGAAAGAGCTGTCATAATTATGTACTTTTTTTTCTTATGCAAAATAAACTGGATTCTAAGAATTTTATCTACCTCTATTTGCAAAATAGAAAGTGCCTGGTTATTTCAGTGATTTGTGCAGGTAATTTTCTAACTATTTATTGCAACTTTGCATGCATAATGAATGTACAGCTAATCCTAACCATGATTATAAATATAAATGAAGTATTGTAAATTATCATATAAAATACAAAACTAGAGAATAATATCTTACAACTAGTGCTAAATATAAGCAGTAAAAATGAATACTTACAAGTTGGTTAATTGTTGAAATGATGACAATAAATAAACCTCTATTTGGGATGGACTCCTGCTTCTGATGATCTAATGTTAACTAGTCCCTCACTTTTAAGAACCCATTTAATTCAAATGAATCCCATAGTGCAGAAAAATTCATTTTAGAGTAAAACATATTAATTATGTTCCTGTTTTTAAAGGTAGTGCTGCACCAATACCATTCTAAATTGTGAAGAATTGAAATAAATACGTAGGCTAAATGAGACAGACATGTGGCACCCATACATACAAATGAAACTAGGAAATCACAGAACAAGTTTTCAAACTTGGCCTAGATAAAAGACTAGGCCAAGTTAACCATGGAAACATATTAATTGTAAATTTTCATTTCATCAAGATTGCACACATGCACACAGACATACACACAAACCCGTACACACACGTTCAACCATTGCCCTCTGCCCATCATTGGCAGTTAGGACCACTTCACCATATACCAATTGATTTCTCTCATTCCAAAGCCTGGGTCCTGCTCTGACCTCAGCAAAGTGAAGCATAAGTAGTTCTGGGTTAATAAATGATCATAATATAGATAATTATGTAGGAACTCTTCAATATGTTATGGTCAGACAACTGAAAATATAGTTAGCTTGTGAGAGTTAGTCTTTAAAATATACAAGCATGTGATTAGTAAGATTAGTGACTTTTCTAGAAAGCACATAGATCTGTACTCAAATCTTTGCTCCCACACATCCATGTTGTTGACCCTGGGTAAATTAAACAGTCCATTTTAGACTTCATATGTTTAATACATAGAGTACAGGTATATGTTTCGTATAAATATATCAATACATAATAGTTATCCCATGAGGATTTTGTGGAATTTAATTATTTAATTTACCTAGCATTCTCATTACAGTCTATAGCACATAATGTGTGCTCAGATTTTCTCTCTTAAGGCCTGATGACTTCCTAATCAAGAGAGAGAACAGAGAAAATATAATAGACTTGACTGTGAAAGGCACTGTTGCTTTTAAATGATATAGTTAAAGTATTAAAGATAAGTAAAATGAAACTTTAAAGTAAAGTAAGTAACTTTAAGTAAAGTGAGATAGATAAAGTAAAACTTACAGACAGCAAGGAACTTGAAAAGGAGACAGTCAGTGTTTGGCTGTTTATCCAGCACAGTTCAGGCAGGAGGTACAATGAAGCCAGGGATATGGATGTTTTGCTGTGGGATAATGATAACACATCTGGCTTTTTCAGTGGACTGGAAAAAGCTCACATCCACATGACATTATGACATCCTTGATTCCTCCGTTTCCCACACATGCCATGTGCAAACCATCAGCAAACCGGTTTTCATCCCTTCTACCTGCATTATTCTAGTCCAAGCCAGGAGTATCATCACAACTTCTAGGTTGGCTCAGGTTATTCTCAATGCAGCCAGCGGAGCTGTCCTTTTAAAATGTATGTTATATTATATCATTCTTCTGCAATAACCCTTCAGTGTTTTCTCATTGTACTTAGTAAAAAGCCAACATTCTTTACAGGAGCATACAAGTCCTTTTACAACCTGGCTGCTTTGTTACCAATGTTTCCTGATTCTCTACCACTTTCTTGTCCACTTTGCTTCAGCTATGATGGCCTCCCTGTACACTCTTGCCCTGGAGTTTCTGCACTCGCTGTTCCTTTTATCTAAAACATTCTTCCCTGAATACCCTCATGGCTTCTCATTTACTACAGGTCTGAACTCAAATGTCATTTTGATAAGTCTCTATAAATAGCATCCAGCCTGCCCTGATACTAGACACTCTGTAATTTCCTCCTCTGACTTTTTCCCTTCTGTTGTATTTATTTTCATCTGACATAATATATATTTATTTATTTATTTTTGTTATATGCATCTCTACCTGCCCCCCATGTATGCCTTCACAAGGTAAGTTCTATGAGGCCAGGGACTTTGAATTGTTTATGATTGTATACTTAATACCCAAAAGAGTTCCTGGCTAAATATAGGTGTTTATTAAATGTTTGTAAAATTAATGAATCGAGATTATACAACTCTCTTTATTCTGATGACATGTTCTGAAAGCAATATTACAATTATTTTTTCCTTCTTTCCAAATACCATAATGTAGGAAAGGGGCACAGTGCACTCCTAGCACAAGTAATCACCGGAAAAGAACACATCTTTCTAAAAAATATAAATTAGTACATTAACAAAAAGATTGCGAGAGGAGGGAAAACAAATGCAAAACATCCTTTTGATGAATTGGTGGAGGAATTTCAGGTCAAGATCTGACGATATTTGATTAATGAAATTTTTTTCTTAAAATATAAAAAAGAATATCCAACACTTTCCCATAAAGTTACTTGAGTAGAAAGTTCATAAATCAGATTTTCATAATGAACTCAGTCTATCCTTTCAGTCTTAGCAAGGTTATACCTAATTATTCCTAGAGAGATTAGTGTGTATCATTTTTAGGATTCTCTTATATATCTTTTCTAAAAGACGTAATCCTTAGCATTTTAAAACTTACATGTGTGACGATGTCAGTATCCTTAGGAAGACATGTATTTGGATGCACAATGACTTTCATAAATCACATAAAAATATCTAATAATAAAAATATTATTAGATAAATAATATTTATCTAAATAAACACATTTAGATAAAATGTGTTTCAGTCTTACAAAAATTCTTAAATGTTTATTATTAGCAATTTTGATACCATCTGGCTTATTAACTCCCTGCTATATACCTTGCTTAATTTGTTTTCTTGGTTATAGATATAATACTAAGTAGATAAGATGAGAATACTTGAGAACTGGCTTTGAATTATTTTCATGAATGATAGAATTTACCTTTGGTATGCCTATTTCATACAGTGAAAACTGATGGGAAGGATTGGAAAAAAAATCCCAGGGGAGCTAGGCTTTTATGTCAACTTCCCCAAGGGGTGACTATATCTCGATTAATTTTGTTGCTGCTACACTTCTGTGGAGTTCAGGAAATTACTGCCCCTAGAAACGAATATCTGAGATCAGGTAAGAGATTGGCTACAGGATTTTCAAAAGAATAAGGGCCAAACTTTCTAATTTACTCAGTGTTCAGGATTAGCACTTTTCTAAATATTTTGTAAGAAACAAGTCAAACACACAAGCTATTATTTAAAGACAACTTCACTATATAAAATTTAAAGCACCTGCTATTTATATTAGCAGACTTTTCATTGTTAAGGGGGCTTCATCTTCTTCAAGATTCTCTAACTGCCTCTCAAATATATATTAAACAGATTTGCAATGTTTTAATACTGCATACTTGCATGGCAAATAAAGAAATATATTAAATGTAACCCATATACTAGATAGGGGGTTAGGAAATTTTATATGTATTAGTTTATTGAAACTACACACACACACATACACACACACACACACACACACGTACACGCACAAAAAGTAAAGATGAGGGATTGAAGCTCCGAAATTAAATATTATGCTCAAGGTTACAGAATCAGTGTGTTCAGAGGAGGTATTCGTGCTTTGGGCTTCTGGCTCAAAAAATCCTGTAGTATTTCTCCTATCTCATATATTTTTAGAACTTTTGATGCTCTAAAATGGAATAAATACATTCACACTTCTATTTCAATATTATGTTAATCATGTTAGTATTTTCAGTTATTATTTACCTATGTCCTATCATGTCCTTGCAAACAGTATCCTTGCTTTACCTGGGAAAAAGTAATTGTCAAAGTTAGTTGCTAATGATATCATTTCTTGCTTGTTCTACTTCTGAGTTATTTTTATCTTGTGGTTTATTTATTTTGGCACAGCAAGATTCACAGCTTCCTCCACAATTTCATAAAATGTTTCTTGTTTCATAACCTTGTTGGCTGCCCTAATTGCAATGTTCCTTTAAAATAAAGTTAATTTGGACCTTTATTTAAGTACTTGTAAAGTTTTTTTTGTTTAATTTCATGTGCTTTAACCACATATAAAATAGAGCATATTTCTGAGTGTAATGCACAATCATTTTCATGGAGACTACTATATCCTAAGGTTTTGGCTTCAGAGAATTTCTAGTACATATTTTTGATTAGTTTGTATATTGGATTAAAGTAATTCATTTTTATAATAGCAGAAAATATTTCGCTGTATAAATTTCAGTTTTCATTGCTATATATGTGTGTGTGTGTGTGTGTGTGTGTGTGTGTGTGTGTACATATATTTTTTTTTTTTTGGAGATGGAGTTTCACTATTGTTGCCCAGGCTGTAGTGCAATGGCATGATCTTGGCTCACCACAACGTCTGCCTTCCGGGTTCAAGCAATTCTTCCTTAGACTCGCGAGTAGCTGGGATTACAGGTTTGCACCACCACACCCAGCCAATTTTGTATTTTTGTAGAGACCAGGTTTCTCCATGTTGGTCAGGCTGGTCTCGAACTCCCGACCTCAAGTGATCCACCCGCCTTGGCCTCCCAAAGTGCTGGGATTACAGGTGTGAGCGACCATGCCTGGCCCATTGCTTTATTTTTGAAAATGCTAGTTAAGCAGAATTTATTTCATCAGCCGTATGGTCATACTTGACATACCTGTTTAACACTTGTATTTTATTTGGAGGACACTGCTCCATCATCCATTCAGTAAATGTTTGTTGAGTGTCTGCAATAATGCAGATTGTGGGAAGTTTTGGGAAAGTAAAGACAAATAATAAAGATCTACCTTCTCAAGGCTTATGGTGTAATGAAGATAGAAAGTACGTTAAATATTGTAATGCAGTGTTAAGTTCATTTCAGATCATCATACAGGGTGTTGTGGGTTTACAGAACAATTGAGAAGAACAGCAAATGCAGTAGAAAATTGATGTGTAGAATGCCAGATGTCTGAAACAGAATTTTGATGTCAGGAATCTGCAATTTCTTTTCACTATAGTGAAAGTTGCATGTGGGTAAATGGGAGGAGACTTGACTAGAACTCCAGAACCTAAAGCATAAAATTTAAATTTTAATAAGAGGTAGAAAAAGGTAAATATACTATCTATGGGTTTACTTGAAAAATTTTCTATGTATGGTAGAGGGGCTGATTTCCCAGTGCTGTTAGCTTTCTGATGATTAATCTATAATAAATATCTGAACTTTCCAATTCTCTCACTGTACACTTGGCTAGTTCTATCAACTGTATGAGCCCTAATTAGCAATATGAAATTTATTTTTTAATACTAACTGCTGCAATTGGGATTTAAAATAAAAACTGGGATAATTGAGCTCCAATAATTAGCTACAACATGGATTAAGGAAAGGATATGTGTCAGACACCATCTTGGGAATTTATACACATTTTTATTTCATTCTTACCACTGTTCATGATACTGGCACTAGTATCTTCATTAAGTGGATATGGAGGTTTTCTCAATTAAGTGTAAATATCTTGACCAGGTTTGCAAAAGTAATAGGTGACAGAAGAGTCTTAATCCAAGTGTGCTTGATTTAGAGTCTGCACTTTCTACCCCTCTTTCCTTCCATCTCCAGTAAGCCTAATTACTTCTGCAAAGTCATAAGTTTTATCACATCAATAGTTCTTCAAAATGTGATTCCTAGATCAGCATCATTTGGGGACATTTAGACATACAAATCCCTAGGCCATATCTCAGACCTACAAAATAAAAATCTATGGAAATGGAGTCTGTCAATGAGAGTTTTACAAATCCCTCTAGCTTACTCTGGTGCACAAAAAAAATTAAGAACTACTGTATCAGGGTTTTAGCCTGTGTTTCTCAATCCTGAATCTACATTGGAATCATCCCGAAGGCCTGAAAAATACCAGTACCATGGTAACCACCTCAGAGATAATGATTTTTAATTATTCAGAAATGAGAAATGTGTGTGTGTCTTTGTGTGTGTGTATGTGCAGATAAACACACATGATACAAACATACATACATACATACATACATACATTTTCCCAGGTGATCTTAAATGTGTATTTAAAATTGAGAAACACTGTGGTATATCAGTGCTTCTCAAGTTTAATGTGTATTTAAAGCACCTTTGGATCTTGTTAAAATGCACATTCTGGTTCAATGTGTCTAGCTGAAGCTGATGTTCTGCAATTCTGATGCTGAAATTTTGCAATTCTAAAAATCTGCTAGATAATGGTCATTCTGCTGGTCCATGGTACATACTAAACAGTAAAGTATTATATTTAACATGCCACTGTATCTGAAATATAAGATTTTTGAAATCTTTCAATTTGTTGCCAAAAGGAGGCGATATTTCTTTGTCTATGAGTGTGGGCTGTGTTGTTAAAATGGGTTTGAGATCTTGCTTCACTAGGGATTAGCTGTATAACCATAAGCAAATGTTTTACTCTCTCCATTTCTCAGTTTCTTTATTTTTAAAGTAATTTTCAACGTTATTTTTAATGATAATAATGGTAACTACCATAATGCTTTTCTGAATATTTAATAAATCAATCAATAAAATGATTATTACAGTGTCTACCATTTCATAAGTGGTTAATAATTCATTATTATTTTTATTAATAGTAACATTATAAACTTTCATTTCTAGTTTGACCTTGATTAGAGCAATTAAATATTGACTTATGTTCTTATGACTTATATCAAGAATAAGATTATACTGAAAAATTACAAACACAATTGAATTAAAACAATGAGAAAGCCACAAAACATTTATTT